ACTCTATACCTAAAACATCCACACTGGTCACATCTGGCTGTGCTTCTCAAGAGTTTTGTTTAACTTTAAATAAGAATTCTTTATCAACTTGGTGAATGACTAATTGCCTCAGTACATTTCAGGCTAATTGGGATTTCATTTGCTTGTTGCTTTTGTGGCTTGGTAAGAATACTTGAGTCTACTCTCATCAATTTCTAAGAATGAAGTGCATTATTATTAACTGTCGTCCCCATGATGTACTGTAGGTCTCTTGAATTTCTTCCTCCTAATTGAATCCACCTTTCTTCCTAGCCCTGGTAATCATTGTATTCTCTGCAACTTTTTGAATTCCAAAGGTAAGTAAGATCATGGGGTTATTTGAGGTTGTTTTCTCCATGCCATTGGGTGGAATTCAGGGGTTTCCACCATGAACCTGTTTCTTTTACTAGCAGCTCAAAAGGTCTCTGCTAAGTTCGCCATGTCTCCTGAGTCTCACAAATCACCTCATTTCTCTAAAAACCATATCATCAAACACAGAGACTTGCACCTTTTCTGTGGTTGCTTCTCACTTAAGTAGTTGTCTGTAATCTATTCACTTTCCTAGAGATCCAGGACAGATGGTGTTGACCAAGGAGTGGAGGCTGTGTTTCACTTCAACAAAGGACACAATTGCAGAGCAGATATTGGGCATTTCCAGTCTTCAACATTCTTTGACTATTTCTACCATGGGACAGTTCTCACTGGCAAACTTTCCTCAATTCCACTGCCTTCTGCTGCCCTGCAGGCTCTGCCTCTCACAGTCTCCCTCTTCCTTTTACATGGTTTTGTGCCCTGGTGCCTTCTTTCCTCCTCCAACCTTCATCAGCATATTTTCAGGGCTAACTTTCCACAGATGGATATTCCTTACCCTGAGGAGTTACACTGCCAGTTTTAAAACCACCACTTTTAAAAGAAATATCTTGGTGCTCTCAGGTCATGGCAGTAGCTGTTTATCTTCTAGAGATAAAAGGAAGAAGCCCATCCTGCCCTGGGAGATAGCGCCACTTACTGTCCACCAACAGACAGCTGCTCAAAAAATACTAAACTGAAAAGGCTTTCTCCATTGCCTGTTCTGGGCAGAGAGGCAGATAATCTAAATAAGAATAATTTAGATGGTACATTGAACTTAAGAGGTTGAGGGGACATCCAAGGATGGACAAAATTTAAACTCCATAAGGAGATGAAGACCAGAAAGGAGGATTTGAATGTATTGGGTCTCTGGGAGGTTACAGGACCTGCGTAGGGTTAACCACAGCAAAAAGGCAGTGGTGATCTGAACTTGGCCACTTTGCCTTCAAAGTTCATATAGTTACTCTTTGCTGCACCAGAAAGGAGTGGGCTTTCTTTTATGGATATTCAGGGAGGTAAGAAGGAACTAATGGCCAATGGAGAGAGAATTTCAGAGGGGATTGCTAGAGAACTAAAGTTTGAGAATCATCAGTTAAGATGTGAACTGAGAAAGTATCACTGGGATTCAAGTTTAGAATTGTCACTCTAAAATTTATAATTCAGAGAGGTTCTCCAAAGAATGTTTACTTGGGACTCTCACTAAAATAGGAGTAGCAGAACATTGCGAAGAGACTAAGCATACCATATTCAAAGAGGTATTCAGTGAGGCTGAGGCAAAGGGGAAGTTTTTTAAAGATGAAAATGAGGATTACATCAGACATTTTGAAAAAATAAGTCTTGCTCACAATGGTTAATAATAAGAGTAACATCAGCCCAAATTTGCACAGACAACTTTGGAATAGATAGACATCCTTGTAGAAGTATGTTTTGTGTAAGGTAACAGTGACCTGTGTGCAAGCGTATGGTCTGGCAGAGTCTTTTGTGATAGTTATAAGAATGCTTGCTTCATAACCTTCCTGCCTTATTTGCCTTTTTTTTCTTCTTTTTAAGTGAGTATAACTTAATTAGAGTGGACTCCTTCCTTTAAGTTGCTCAATAAGCCTGTAGGAAATCAAGAGAAGTACCTAAAAATTGTAGTAAAAGTTGCTACTTGATTATCACTCCAAGTTAGCATAAAGTGTTATTTCTTCATCTGTTTGACCATACATTCACTTATCAGTCTGTCTGTCCATCTGTGCATTCACTCATCCATTCTGGAAACACTTACTGAACTCTTTCTAAGTAAAGGTGTGAGGAAAGATAACATTTTGTGTTGATGAAGCTCTTGGGCTGGGATAACAGACATCCAGATATGAGATTTCCCCTTCTCATATTAGCCCATGAGATAGGCCAGGGGTCGAGGGGCCAGGGACTACAGGTTATAGAATAGGTGTGGCAGGCAGTGAGAAGCTTAGGGAAAGAACTAGATTAGGAAGAGCCTAGATTTGTGATGTCAGGTCATGAAATCTAAATTGTGACTTGGTTCACAGAACGGTCACAGGGTAGGTGGCAAAAGTGAAGGTAATTCGATGTGAACAGATTGAGGAACTGAAAGGTCACAGTGTTGGAAGGCCATTTATATAGTCCTCCACTGGATAATGGCAGTATATGGGGTAGGAAAAAGCCGGAGAGCCAGTCCTCAATGAATTAAGGAAGATGCCTCTGTGGAGAGTTCCCAAGAGGAGGTAGAGTGGGCAACTAGAGCTCCACCATGCCCTTCTGCCATGGTGTTCTGCCTCACCATGGGCCCAGAAGCAATGAACTGAAACCATGAGCTAAAATAAATCTTTTCTCCCTTTAAGTTGTTTTTCTGAAGTATTTGTCACAGTGGTGAAAAGTGTGACTAAGATAGCAACCCTAAAAGAAAAACTGTTTCAACATACATACACCAAATATATCAGTTTTCCTCACTCACTCACATCAACTAATTTTCCATAATTTGACTCAGGTATAGCACTACCTGGAGTTGGCACAGATACCACAGGTATCTCATCCCACAAGACTGCTCCTCACTTCAAATGCAAATCACAAGTAGTGAGTCCCAGTTCACTCACACAACTAGCAGACATGGCTACAAACTGAAAGTTCCTACAACCCATTCCTTAAGTTTAACAATTTGCTATAATGGTTCACAGAAGTCAAGAAAACACTGTTATTTACTGTCACTGCTTCAGTATAAAAGATACACAAATGCATAGCAAATGACAAGGTACACAGAACAAGGTCCAGAAGTGTCCTGGGCACAGGAGCTTCTGTGACCGTGGAGTTTGGAGTGTGCCATCCTCCCAGCATGTGCCTGCAATTCCCCAATCTGAAAGCTCTCCAAACTCTTTTGTTTGGACTTTTTTACAGAGATTCCAATATGTAGGCCCAATTTATCTAATCATTGGCCGCTGGTGATTATTCAGACCCCAGACCCCTCTTTCCTCCCGAGAGATTAGGAGTGGGGCTGTAAATTCATCAGAGGTGCTCCTCTAATCATGTAGCTGACTCTTCTGTCAATCAATTCCCATCTTCTAAGAGTCACCTGATTAGCATAAACTCAGGTATAATTGAAAGGGATAACAAAAGACATCCAGCACCCCTATCAACTACAAGGGTTGTAGGAATTTTGTGTCAGGAACTGGGGATGAAAACTAAATAAACAGCTATTATATCACAATAGCGTACAATCCTGCACAAATGGAGGCAAAGTGGGATTGAGGGGAGGCAATAAGAATTTCAGGTCCTTAGACCCTGAAGTGTCAACCCTTATTAGTGATACCCCCATAAGCACCCCCAATGGTAGTGCTGAGACCAGCCTGACTGGAGGTTCTCCAGTTGGAGGACAGCAGGGTGAACAATTGATGCTCCAGTATCATCCAGCAGTAGTTGTCATGGTCCTGTGATTTCTGGATCCTGAGGTTCCACACAATTGGTATTCTGGGGACCTCCATTCTGTGAGTCACCTACCTCTCAGGTCATGTGACATATGCATTGAAGGCACCAAGACTTTCCCCTTTTCTATGAGCAAACATGCCACACCTTGCAGCAACCAAAGTTCATCTCACCTTTCAGTTACCCTAAGTCATGAGGACTTTTATTTTCCTGGCAATTCAGTGTTTCTATGATAGGGCATGTCTCCCCACCTTTCCTCAGTTTTACTGACACATGAGCATATATAATTGGAATGATTGAAGAAGAACCATTCACCTGCTTGCCTTCTCTCCAGGTCTGGAGTACAAGAAAACAACCTGAAATTTAAAGGGAGAAATTGAGGTAGGATACTAAGAGAGCTTTATTGGCAGCAAGAATGGGGTGCTCACAGGGGTGCCACTTTTTAAGAAGAGTAGGATGAGGCAATGAGAGTACAGTATTTAAGGGAAGTGAGCAGGGGGGTACTTCTTGCTTTGGGTAATCTTTGGAAGTGGTTTGAAAGGAAGGAACAAGATGGCTTCAAACATTACGCAAGTCTTTGCCCTTTTCCCTGTCTTATTCTCTTTCTCTTTCACAATGGAATTGGTATAATTCTACAATGGTTGCGGGTAAGGAAAATGACTTGCTGACAATGTGCCACTGTAAATGGCTGGAGTGATAGTCAATAGCGTTAAGCCATCTCAGACTATGGCAAGGGAGAGAACACTCGGAACGCCTGCCAAGTTCTCTTAGCCAACAGCAAATCAGAGAAGACTTTTAACTTGAAAGCTATGATGGTTTCACTTCCGGCTGCGATGTGACACCTTGGCCTTTTAACTTGGAACTATAAAAATATTCACAGAAAACCCACAAAAGGAAAACTGAATTGGTTTTGGAATCACCTGCTTCCTCCAGGTGTATGAAAAATAGAGGAACTTCAAGTTTAGCAAATACAGGGAAACCAGAGGGTGTACCCCAAAGCTGATAAGATGTTTCTGAAACTCATGCAGAATCGTGGTTTGTGTGATCCATGCTTTGGTCCTCTTGATGGAGAGTGGAAATTGCCTGAAGTTGGAGCCTGAGTCCTGCCCTCTAGGCTGCTCCAGGGCTGCTTCTGGCTGAACCTTCTCATCTGGGGCTGTGGAGTGCCAGACCTTCAGAAGACCTAGTGGGGAGGTTGGTGGGGTGGGGTGGAGACCATGGTCTCTCTGCATAAGGACAGCCAGGAGGAAGGCATCTGCCCCATCTGCCTGGAACTCCTGAAGGAGGCAGTGAGCACCAACTGCGCACACCTCTTCTGTCGTATGTGCCTAATTCAGCATGTGGAGAAGACCTTAACCTCTGGAGTCCTCTGCTGCCCCGTCTGCCGGAAGCCCTGTTCTGAGGAGGTGCTGGGAGAAGGTTACATCTGCCCCCTCCACCAGAAGAGGGTGTGCAGGTTCTGTGAGAAGACAGGAAGTCTTCTGTGTGTGGAATGCCTGGAGCTGCCTGAACACCAGTCTCATCCTGAGCCTACCATTGAAAATGCCATCAGCCACTACAAGGTAAGCCAGGTCATCATGGCCACTCCCCGTTACTGGCTCCCCAAGTTACTCCTTCCTATTCCTGGCACTGCATAGAGCCTCAATAACTGATACCCTTCTTCCTTTCTCTTCTTCATCCTGTTTGGATTCCTGTCTTTGCTTTTCTGTGTATATTTTGCTACTGATGTTGTACTTCTGACTCATTCATGGGAATCTGTCACTGTGATGGCAGATTTCCAGGGAGCATGGGCCACTCTGCTCCTCTGTAGACTGAGGAAGCTGCACTAGATAACACAAAACCCTTTCCATACTAAGACCACATGGCTCCCTACCACTAGAAACTTGACTAGAAGTATAATCGGGCTTTACCTGTGCTAACAACAATTATCCTGCAAATATACAGAAACCTGGAAATTAGCACATGATTCTTTTTCCACCTTTCCTTTGTCTTTCCATTCCTTTTTCCATTGTCTTTCCCCCTTTTTCCTTTTTGTCATGATTACTTTTACCTTATTTATTAATTTATTTGTGTGTGGCACTGGGGATTAAACCCAGGGTCTCATTTATCAGGCAAATGTTCAACCACCCCAGCCTTTTGTTTTTATTTTTGTTTTTGAGACAGAGCCTCACAAATTGCTGGGGCTTGCCTCAAACTCTCAATCCTCCTGCTTCTGGATTATACCCAGCTACTCGCTAGTCATGCACCACCATACCCAGCTCCAGCTCTTATTATATTTATTTTTCAAATCGAAAATCTTCATGCTTTTGGTAGTAAATTCAGACAACACTGAAAGGTATAGCATCAAAACTAGGTATCTTTCTTTCTTCCTGTCTCCCCCTATTTTCATTCCCCAGAGGTAACTGTCATTAGATTTTTGTGTGTCCTTCCAGAAAATTGTGTGTGTGTGAGAAAGAGAGAGAGAGAGAGAGAGAGAGAGAGAGAGAGAGAGAGACTATGCACTCTTACAAAAAACCCACAAGGGTTTTTCTGTATCTTGTTTTTATCATTTACAAATATGTTTCAGACATCCAGATCTTCTGAATTCTTATCAATGGCTGCATGGTATTCAATTCTATGAATATACCATAAATTGGTAAAGTTTGAGTTATTTCCAAGTTATTGTTCTGTTTTGAGATTACAAAGAATGTTGCAATGAACAGCTTTCAACATATATTTTGGAGAACGTAGAATATCCAAGATTATTTTGGTGAAGGTGAAAGGTAGGAATCTTTTTTTTTTTAATAAAACTTTTTATTTAAAAATTGTTATAATAAGACCTTTTTTTTTTTTCTTTTATTATTCATATGTGCATACAAGGCTTGGTTCATAAAAGGTAGGAATCTAACTTCACTTTTCCTGACTTATGGTAAACTTGTCCATATCTGTCCTATTACTATTTATTGAGTACTCCATGTGGTTACCTCACTAATTACATATCAACTTCATAATGTGTTATATGTACAAATTTGTTTACATATTTTCTTGACTCTACCTTGTCCTATTATTCTGTGCATTTCTGTCTATGTGCCAAACCATTTTAAACATTATACCTTTGTAATATGTGGTTTAAAATCTTTCAATGTTTATTACATGCAATACAAATTACAAATATGTATCACATTATATTACCACCCAAAAGAAAAAAATGATACACAAAATCTTTATGATAAAATTATTGCATTTAATATCTTTTTTTGCTGGACTTGGGTTTTGGTCTTTTTTGTTTCTCTTTTTTTTTTTGGCAGCACTGGGGTTTGAACTTAGGGCCTCATGTTTGCTAAGCAGGTATTCTTACTACTTAAGCCACTCCACCAGCTCCATAGGGACTGGGGTCTTGAATTCAGGGCTTCACTCTTGCAAAGCAAGCACTCAAAAAAGTAGGTGCTCTACACTTGAGCTATGCCTGCCGTCCATTTTGCTCTGGTTACTTTGGAGCTAGGAGCTCTTGAACTGCAATCCTCTTAATCTTAGCCTCCCAAATAGCTAGGACTACAAGCGTGAGCCACCAGCAACCCAGCTTAATAACATTTTCTTGAAAATCCAAACATAAAAGAATACCAGTCCAAATTAGAGGACGTGTATGTCAATACCAGCTCTGACAACAAAAATAAGAAAGCTATGGTAGAACACATGCCTATCAACTGTGAATTCAAATTCCAATACTGCCAACAAAGAAAAAAAGGAAAAAAAAAAGCTAAAATCCTATAATTTGTCTAATTTACATCAAGTAATTGTAGAAACAGAGGATTCAGATGATTTGTTTTATAATTATGCAATTGAAGGAAAGCATAATAGACATCATAGCTCTTCTCCACCATAAAATTACTTACACCATTTATTTAGTTAGAAAAGTCTTTTAAGAGATACTAGTGTATTCCATTTATAATGATTCCTCTCCAGTAAACATTGGAGCACATAAAAGAAAATATTGTCTCATAAACCTTTTATTGTTCTTTTGAATGTTAAGCACTAAAAGTTCAAGATACTTTGGGAGAACCCTGGTGTCTTAGATGGACTGATGGATGTATTAAAATCAAGCAATGTGTTTGTATTCTGAAAAGCTCTTAAATCCTTAAAACGACGCTTGATTTGTGGTGCTCAGATTTTGTCCTGTTGCTTTTTCATTAGCTGTTATGATTCTTTTCCATTTCTTCTCTTTCCTGTCCTACTGCTCTTTTCTCTGCTATTTTTTCTGCTGTCTCAGAACTTCTTTCTAGGCCCTATCTTCTTCCCATGAATTGCTATTTCTTTTACTTTTTCCTCCTCCTTTCTCCTTTCACTTCTCCTCCTCCTCCTCCCCATTTTCTTCCTCTTCCTCCTCTTCTTCCTTCTTCTTGCAGAGCTGAAAATCAAACAAAGGCCCACTCATGCTAGGCAAGCACTTTCTGCACTGGTATTTTCCTGTCACATATATAATTCAACTAATTCAGAAGATTAATGAAAAAAAGGCATATTTTGTATGATTGCTAATGTACTAGAGAAACCTGTGCTACTACCTGGGTGCCAAAATCTCTGTTCTTAACAATTTTCTGACTTTTCCTTATCTTTAATATCATGTCCTTCAAATACTCAGATTTCAGTCGTTCCAAAGAATTCTCTCCTAGTGTTGCCACATGACCATTCTCTCCTTCAGTCTTCATACATGTGGCTGATCCTTCTCCCAGGAAGTCCACTCTCCAACTTCTGTGTACTTAGGAACTGATGAGGAGTCATCTGTAGTTGGCAAAATATTTGGTCTCCACTCATTTTCTGTTCTCTGCCAGATCTACATATTAATCTCTTTGAGAATGAGAATACTGTTGATAGGAATATACAAATTTTAAATAACTGGAGCTACAGGATAGCAGTTCCTATGGTAGGAATCAAAACCTGCTCTTTCCCCTCCCTCCTCTACAGTATGTTTTAATATCAGGTGGGTCTTGGAATCCTCATAATACTCTTATTTCTCAGAATTTCTGTGAATACTCACATTTGCTTATTTTTTCAATTCAATTTAGAATTACTTTCACCAATCTTTCCCCCACCCCAAACCAATTACTAATTGATTGTATGAAAGACAGATAATATATACACCATGATGATTTTTTATCCAATAATGAATGCTGAACTTCCAAATTCTTCTTTTTAAGCACATGACTTTTGGAGAACATTGTTATGATACAGGATGAAAAAGAAGGGAGTCCATACTGGGATGACTATAGAAAGGTAGACACAACTCAGAATGTTAAAGAGGTGAAGTTCTCCTGAGTTCTGTACCCTCCAGGTATAGAGTACACAGGAGAGCAGGGAGGAGCTTTCCACAGCTGACAAGTCAGACATAGGGGAAAAACCTACTCATTCACTAAATGATTTACTCAGGTCTGCACTTTGGGTAGAATGTCGTGCTAGGCGTTGGAGGAAGTACAAAAATGATTCATGATTGTTACTTCAAATTCATGTTTAAATAATGACAGGAAATGTAGAACAAATAAATAACAACAATATTTGTTCATTTAAAGAAAACAGAATGAGTTCCTATTTGTTAGGAAAAACGCCGCTCTCAAAGAAAGCTCACCAGAAAAGGCTCATGTCCATAGAGCAAAGTTTAATGGCAGGCCCAAACTGCCAGGCTGGCCAGGGGAAAGGTGGCACAGCCCAGAGCCTGGGCGAGCAGTGGCTTTTATAGAAGGGGGAGGGTAAGGAAGTTAGTACAGGTGCAGTAGTCTCTGGTAGGGGTGGGGCTGTCTTAGAGCGTGGGAATTTGTTTAAGGGCAGGGCTGCCATTTTGGCTGATTCACAAAATGGTGACATTATTGTTCTATCATTCCCCCATTTTTTCTTTAATAATGATGAGGGTAGGGGCTGAGGATCAGGAATTGAGGCAAAGCATTGGTCTCTTTAGCTGCTTCCTGCTGGCAGGGGGTGTTGAATGGGGCAAGGTCCTCAGGCCCCTGTGTCCTGGTGGGGGCCCTCAGAGCAGTCCTCTGGACAGTTTTGGAGAGGTTGGTATCCCTGGAGGTACAACTGGTTAAAGTTTTGATCAGCAATAGCAGACATGCAGTGTGATACAAGGGAGGAAGCTTAAGAATAGGAGAGCAAGAAACATAGGCATAGGAGAGCAAGAAACATGGGCATTAGCCAGAGAACCACCGTGAAATGTTCTTCCCTAGACAATTTCAAGAGTCCTCCAACTACAGAGAGAGAAATGGGTGGCCATACATTATCTAAGACCCAAATAGGAATATTAGGAGGAGCATAAAAAGGTGTCTGTTCAGGGACTACATACCTAGGGATCTAAATTCTGCAAAATCCTATAACTGCCAGGAAAGCTGTAACCTGTCTTATGGTATGGGGGTTGAGAAATGGAAGATTGGGTTGATGCATTTATGACTCAGGGAGTGAGTCTGTCCCTTTAAGGCCACACCTAAGTAGGTGACCTGTGGGAGGCAGGGGCTGTCAGGATTTAAATGTAACACTCTTGGATAAAAGAGAGCTTTAGCTCATTATTTTATATAAATTGACACTTTTAACTTAAATGTTT